CTGGTTCTCAGGCATGGATAGCCATCAGAACCACCTACAGAAACTTCACCCCAACGAACCACATCACAGACTGTCCAGTGCAGACCGGGTACCAGGGCTCTGCAAAACACTCCGGGTGAGTTCAATGTCAGGAAAGTTAGCAACACTGCCCAGAAGGCCCTAAACAGGGAGCAGCAGAACAATAACCTTGGAAAAATCAATTTTCCTCGGCTTTGTTCTCATCTGAAAAATGGCGTGTGTGGAAGGAAGCTGGAGTGTATACTAACGATTTCCTGCTGCATTAGGATAAAACTACAAAGTTGCAAAATATTTCAAGTAAAACTAAGAGAATACATAAGAAGCGCCTGCGACACTTGTATCTCCACCGCGAAGCTACAAAGACATTCAAGTTTTTCCATACCTTAGTTTCCAGACTCACAAAGACAGTAAGCAAAATCCCCGCACCCTCCTCTAGAACAATCCACTACCCTAAGATTACTGGTTACCCTGCCCACACTATTGTTAATCTGCAGGTCCTCATCATTCTTCTGTGGGTTTCAATGTCCATAAACTGCATTATCGCCATGTGTTACACATACCATGTTACTCTGCTTTATTTTATGAGAGTTACCATGTAGAGTGTATTTCACTAACTTTATTTCACAGTATTTCAGAGGAATCAACCACAGTCAATTGGTTCACCTTGTCTGTGGACAGTCGAGTCAATTTCACCTTTATAGAAATAAAGGCACATATGTAATTAGTGTCTCATCCCAGGTTTCATGCTGCCCCAGGAAGGCATCTTCAGGGGAGACACCTAGACGTGGTTTTGTTGGATGTGCACACTTCGGTCTTGCTGTGCACTTCCAACTTGCTCTCCAAGGTGGCTATAGCGATTTACTTTTTCTAGGACAATTAACACACATATACACACCCCATTTTCCACACCCCTATCAATACTTGGCACTATGAAGACTTACACATTGCTGCCAATATAAAGATTCTGGTGTGCTAACTAATAATTACAGTTAAATAATATTTTTCGAAGGTCCCTTCTGGTTCTATAATTGTGATAATCACATCGATGCCAAATCTTATCAAAAATAACAAAATAAATGTTGTGTTGCGGGGGGGGGGTTACAACAGATTTATTTTTCCTCAAAACATACTTTGAATGGCCAAAGCTGGCCCATGACCCATACATCAGGCCATAAAAGAGGAATGGGGACATGGCCCCAGTTCTGTATTTATTTTCTTGTGCTCATAATCCAATGTTACTTAAAAAGCAAACTGCCCAATATCCAAGCCAAAGCAAATACACTGAATTTTGCCAGGGAAAATGCCTGTGGAGAAATGAGTCAATTCATACAAAATTCAAAACTGTCTTTGGTCAGTGACATTTTCATGAAAATTTGTGGGTGGGTAAAAAGTCTTGCAAAATTCTTCTTTGCCATTGGAGTAAATTCATCCAGGAAAAATAAGCAAAGTGTAAGTGGCAACCCGCATCGCCCCTAATTCCCTTCTGAACACTCCCTAACCTCCCAGCACAACTGCTTTCAATTGTGCAGGAAAACGGGCCAGGTGGTTCTGATCCTAAACAGAACCCTGGGCCCTGCTGGTGGGACCGTCTGTTTCTCAGCATAAGCACTCACAGACCAAGTTTCTCTTCATTCTGATGCACTTCAGAACCTCCCCGGAAAACACTACTGGGCACTGCCCCACCCTTCAGCTCAATGGCAGAGACCTCCATAAAGTGAAAGCATTTGGCACATTCTTTCGGAACCAGCACTATGGAAGCCTTAAGGAACGGTTGTAACTGTCATGTTTGGATACACTGTTATCCTCTTAGAAACATAGACATGGTCTAGACACAAACTCCATGTTTCTAAGACTTAGCTCTGAATTGGACATCAGACACCTCATAGACCTCAGGAAGACTCATCAGAATTTGGTGTGGGGATGCTTAGGACTGCTCAACCAGTCATCAACCCAAGGTTTGCCAAAGACAGAGCTCACCTACAGGAAACAGAATGCCGGGCACCGAGAAGCTGCTTTAGCTCAAAGACACAGTGAAGGAATCCGGGTGCTTTAAAATAGACCTTGCCGTGTCTTCTTTCTGATTCATTTGAGATCTGCCTCTTGGCCTACTGAGGCCTTTGCTTTTCAAAACTTGGCCACTGTCTGGCACTATCTCTTTCAAGACTTTAAGGACAGAAGTCGTCTTGTCTTTCCACAGAGGTGGTCAGAATGTAATCTGGGGGAGGGTAGAGCTGTCTGGATGAGAAAGGAACCCAATCCTTTTCTTCCAGTGACAGAACCAAGAGATTCAGAATCTCCCCCTCGCTGTTCCACCACGAGTCCAGAGTGATCTGCACCCCAGGTTCCGGGTTAGTCTGCAGATTACAATGAGAAATGATTGACAGAATGCATTCTCCCATAGAGCAAAGGGAACTTGGCATGTGGGCAGGATTCCACTGCAATCTCCAACTGTAAAGCAGGCCTTAGCTCCAACACACCCTCCTTTTACCAGAACTCCCAGAAGGTTCTTCTGTTGTTTTTGTTTTGTTTGTTTGTTTTTTTTTTTTTTTTTTAATGTGTGTGTTGCTTCTAGGCTTGGTCACCAAACACATAGGGGCCAACATCCCCTTTCTTGGTCTAACAATCACAATAAGTGAAAAAGATGGCAAAGTCCAACCATCACATAGAGAAGAGTAATAGAAGTCAGACATTGGACCGGGCCTTAGAATTTAAACGACCCCTAGGTTTGGCAGTCACCGCAATAACCTGAAAAACTCTTCTTTCAAAGAAGAGCATGGTCATTTCACCTGGCATAGCTCTAGCCATGTTGTCTCTAGGCCTACACATCAAGTACATGACATACAGCCACATAACAGAAGACAATAAAGTCCATGAGGTGTAAGCTTGCTTGAAAATGGTTATCTTCCTGTTAAAAACATACCCTTCCGGCAGTGAAGCTGTAGCATCAGCTACTCCTAAGAAACGTTTCTTTGTCTGAGTTTATTTGCACCACAGCACGCGAGCGCTTTGCGACTCTGGCTTTCACATGCTATCGGATTAGTAGTGTGAGTTCTGCACAGGCTCCACCTATTAACGAAGAGAGGGTAGGGTAGGAAAGCAAATGACCTCATCTGCCCGTCCCGAATGGCACAGCGAACAGAGGCGCAGGTCTGCACGCACGCACCTCTCAGCTGTTCTTCCTCTCAACTCCTATTTTTAATATGCACCATGCACTTTAGCAAGCGCCAACTCTGCAAACCTATATGTCTTGAAAAACTCTGGGATGAGAGGTGAAAATGGGGAAAGCCTTTTGCACAAAAATTAATGCTGCAATGCAAAAAAAAGTTTTTTTTTTTTTGATAATTCAAACTTTAATGTTTACTTCAGTAAAACCCAACCCAGTAAACTATTTTCAGGCAGGATTAGTCAGAACTAAAAGGCTGGACTGTTTTCCTTCAGAGACTGAGTGTCTTTCCTGTTTGCAACAGGCTCCTGTGTTCCAAAGAGAGTAAATGGCATTGCCTTCAATCGCCTGTCTCATTCTGGCATTTCTAACACAGAACCCTACTGACAGAGTTCGGCTTGGCCTCCTGGAATGTAATTATTCTTTTCACTCATGGAACCTGGCACGCTCACAATGCATCAGCTTCAGGTTTTCCTTAAGAAAAAAAAAATCACAACATGGGGTCTAATGTAATGACAAGAAATGCAATTTCATTCCACCAGAAAGTCTTAAGCCTCTTTCAAAAATACCTACTGCGTGGTGAAAAGTGCCTCTAATGCTTGCATTCCTACTATCGCCTGTGTGGTTTGCTTTCGCATGAATCAGGTGGGCCAATCTACAGTCAAACATAAACACAGGCCAGACACTTTATATCACATACTGCAGAAAGAGGTGGCTCTGGTTGGAAGGTCACAGTTCAAACTAGTTCCTCTTCCAATGGGTTTATAGGCTTCACCCATCACTGATCGCTAGAATGCTCAACATTACGGGAATACCCAGACTTCTCAGTTCTAACTCTGAAGAGCCATTCTTGTCCATCTAGACTAATAGAAAACATATGTTCTTCTTTGCAAAGAGTTCAGAGAGCTATCTCTGTGATCCCGGGGGTGAAGTCCTGCTTGTAAAGCCCCGAGGGTTTCTGTGAGGTGTGAAATTATTGTGAAAGCATTTAGGAATCATATTAGTCGAAAAACAGTCGATTCTGCCAAGAAACAGGATCCCAGTTCCAGGATCAGTGTTGAGAAACAGAGAGGCAGGACAGACATCAGGCCCACGTGCTTCGACACCAACGGCACAGCCCTTCTCAGTCCACTGCCCTTACGCTTTTCCACAAAACCCTCTTTCCTCAAAATCAAGTGAGGTCCCATGAGACCCTGTTCCTGGGGTGGCCCCTGGTGTTTCCTTGCTGTAAGTCACTAATGAGTTTCACAACTCCGAGAGGCCCAATGCGCTGGCCTGAGAGTGCGTGCTACAACAATTGCAGTTGTTAAATTCCTATGTGGAGAATTTCTTTCTTAACTGTCAGAACCATTCCTCCCAGACCCCAAATCTCACCCAAATTTTTAGAGATTAAAAACAAACACACACACAAAAACCCTGAGGATTTATACTTTGGAAAATCACAAAAGCTTGCTTGTGGCACAGCGCATGTCCCGTGGCCTTGAACATCCATGAAGCCAAGAGAACACTGAGTCCCACCCACGTTTTTCCAGCCTACATTAAGGAAGCCTGGCCTCCACTCCCACAGCGGCATGGGGCGTGAGCTAGAAGAGGGAGAAAACAACAGCCACCAGTTATCAAAGAAACTTTCCCCTGGTTCCTGCTAGCCGAAGAGGCAAGGAACCTTATGGGTACCGTCACCACCACACATCCAAATTCCACAAAAACGGAGCCGCGGTTACCTGACTTCATGCCCGTATTTGATCAAATATATGCATGCAATCAAGCAGGGCCGCCCAGAGTGGTGGCGCAGCACGTCGGCAACTCCAGTTTCACTCACCGTACACTTGTTGGGCTTCTCCCCGGAGTGGACTCTCATGTGGATCAGCAGCTTATAGCGGGCGTTGAAGGGCTTGTACCTCCTTGGGCAGCCAGTCCAGAAGCAGGTGAAGTCTTCCCCCTTGCGCTGGTCTATGTGGACCTTCTCGATGTGCCTCACCAGTTCCTCCTGCTGGTCATATAGGGCACTGCAGTCTATCCAACGGCAGCAGTGCTTGCCCCCTGAGTCCTCCATCTCCCCATCCTCATCCAGGCCAGCCTGGGCCAGGGCCAGTGGCTGTGTGTGAGGCAGGAGCTCTGGGTGATGAAGGTGTGGGTGGGCATGGTATGGGGGTGGGGGGCCCTGAGGCGGGGGAAGAGGAGGGAGAGGCTGCGCTGAGGGCAGGTCCAAGGCACTGCCTGGGAACTCCTCCAGGCGCTCGGTTTTGAGCATATTGGCTGACCCATCCTGGCCCGGTAGGCCCGGCTGCAGCGCCACGTTGTTCGCAGGTCCAGACTGCAGGCCACCATGCTCCAGCTGCTGCATGCGCTCGTACTCCAGGGTACCGTCCTCGCCATAGCCTGGCAGCACCTGCCCTCCGCTGGCCACCAGCACACCTTTCTGCCCACTGGACACTGCACAAGACTGGGGAATGCAGCTGCCACGAACACCCAGGAAATGCCCATAGACCTCCGACTGTGGGGACACGTTGGCAGGGGAGGCTCTTGATCCGTTGATGTAGGCAACCAAGGAAGTCGGCGAAGTGCGGATGATAGTATTGAAGTCAATCCCAATGCCATCAGACAGCGGGGACAGGGACAGAGCTCTTTTCTTGGAGCGGGTGGAGTGGGACCTGGTTGCTGAGTGCCGAGGACTAGGGTAAGGAGAGTGGCTATTTTCCATGCCAAAAAGATAAGGTGGCAAAGGGTTAGAGACGCTATTGCTGGCCCCCGGTGTGCCAGGAGGCAAGCTCAGGACGTCCCCTAGGTCCATGCCATTCTGAGAGCCATGGTTCGATGACAGGGAAGGAAAAGCCCTGTAGCTCTGAGACCACTCCTGCTTGACACTCAAGGCCGATTGAGTCTCCGTCAGACTCAAAGTCGTGGACACCAGGGACTCTTGCAGAATGAGGGACCTGCAGCAGCAGCCAGAGAGAAGGGGAAAGAAACAAACAAATGTTTCAGCAAAGACGTGGATTGCTTGAGAGCTCAGAGGACACTGCACCGCCAGCCCCTTAAGGTTTTCCCTTACTGCATTCTGCACTAAACACGAGTTCTTAGACTGCCACAGAATCCGAGGCCTTAGGCTCCAGGTAAATAACATATTACCAAGACAAACAATGAAAGCTAATGCTTACTAAAATAATGAAAGAGCTATTGTTATAAATAATTCTAGTAATTTAATGAGAATAAATAGTCCTCATTTTATTTCAAAGTATCCCCTTTTCTATAGAGGGGGGAAACTCGGGACTAGGAAAAACGTTATAGCTGCTTGTCTTGGCAAACCAAAGGAGTATCTGTTAAGCACCTACCGTGTGCACCATGCCACGGTAGGCATTCAGGTTACATATTTCTGAACAGTACTAATCTCCAATTAAAATATACGTGGGAGGGTCTCACATAAGCCATGATTTTTTTTTAAAAAAGTAAACTTTCCAAGTTAAATATTTGTGTTAAAGACTTACTAATAATTTTACAATTTAGCGGCACTGATATTATCAAATTAGACATTTCAAAGGGCAATTTACAATGGCAAGTACTCATTCATTTCAAATGACCCTAGGAAATTTGTGAAAACGTAGAATACACGGGCAGAAAGCATACCTCGGTGAGCAAGTGCATACTTAGCAAGCTGGAGGCACAGAGTTCACTCTTTATCACACACAGAGAATAGTCCTTAATAGAACAAAGGCATTGTACAAGAAGTAACAAACTGAAAAGCTGCGTTTGGCATCATGCACCAGGCTACGTGGGTCTTAGCCACACTTGTTAAGATAGGTTTTCCGTGAGCTCTTGTCCTTGGATCTGAGCAGCATCAGGCCAAGAACAGGTCATTCACGTGCAGTAGTTCATTTTTATAACAATCCCTTCCCTGTCCTTCTCGTTCACAAAAGGAGTGCTAAAAATGTCACAATTCATTGTTTGCATATCAAAGTGGTTTATAATGATAATGTTAGACCCTTGAAAATCCATTTTTCTTTCCAGGGACATTATTGCTTTAAAAACAATAAACGAAAAGAAGAGCTATATCCCTCAGACAGAATATTCATCCCAAAAAGGATCAACATGTAAATAGAGAAAAAAAAAACGTTCCAGGACCCAACGCAGACACGGCAGATAGCTGAGAAACTTGGTTTATTCCATACGTGCCTGCAACTGGCTTTCTAGATTCTTTTATTTAAATACACTAATTACCAAAGATTCTTATGCAAAATGTGTGACTTCCCTCCATGAACACCCTCCCTGTCTCTGGCTGTTAAGTATCAACCTGCTACAGAGGAAGGGGGAAGCATCATTTCACCTGCTCCCTACTCCGCTTCACAAACTGGAAACCAGGAACGCCGTTTCTGCCAACCCGGGAATACTGACAAGAAAACATATCAGCTCCGGAAAAGCACGGTGTACAGTGGTAACACTGCAATTGACCTGAAGTTGCCCACGGGTGCGGCACTGTTTGCCAATGACAAGCCCAGCAGGAACCTATGTCCACCTGCCCTTGACAGAGATTTCCTTCTTGGTTCACATCCTTACATTTGGATTAAAGTCCTTCTGCCTTCTTCAAATGGTCTCTGAACCGTTTGGGTTCTAATTCCCCATGGACAGTTCTCAATTATTTCCCAAGCACACTTCCAGCACGTGGCTTTACCTGCAGAGCTCAGGAGAAGGCTCCTGGTGACTGGATGTCAAGAGCCTTTTGACCCTATCCCACGTGAGAGTCAGGAAGTACATTCAGACACAAGCTACATCAGGGATGTCAGAACACTGACAGAGCTCCATGGTGAACAGTGCCTGCTCTCAGGAGGCAGCCATTCGAGCACACTTCAGACTCTTAAGCAATGACCGACAGCCAGAGTGGCTCATGCAATTGTATGCACTCTGCTGATAAAACTTCATTATCTGGCTCAATGGCTGCATAGAGAAACATGTCCATTCTTCAATAATGCAAGGCAAAACTCACTAAACACTTGAATTATGCTGAACATGGCTTAATATATAGCACAGGATAGCCCAAGTGCAGACATGTTGCTTAGCCTCTTCGGCATCTCAGTTTTCCAAGGCAGCTGTCAAAATCTTTCAGGAAGCAAACTGAATAGTCTACTTAAAAGCAAAGGCATGAACAGAGAACAAGTTTGTGCCCCTTCCTCCCTCTGACACCTCAAACACCTAACAGGAACAAAACTTCCAACACGTGGCAGTTGCTTCCTATGCCTCTCAAAGATGCAATTTAGGAGACCTAATCATTCAAAGTCCTACCCATGAAGTCTATCTCTGTAGGAAGAGTCCTCTTTGCAAGGCATCTCTACTGTCTAGACCACCATCTCTGAGGATCTCGGAGAATCATGCTCACAAATGGCAAAAATCTTTCCATTGAAAGGATGGTTTTTATCTCCCTGGTACCTGCTGGAGTGTTAGAAACAAACTAAGTACTCAAACACCTGCTGATCAAGAGTGTACATAAAGAAGAGCCCGGCTTGGTGTTGCAAGCCTGGAATCCCATCCTAGGATTCAGGAGGCTGAAGGCAGAAGAAGGCTTCAAGGCCAACATCGACTACATAGCAAGATGCTAGCTCAAAGAATAGAATTAATACACAAAAACACTAATCATGACTTACAAGCTTACAGAGCATTTTATATATTAGCTTACTGAATAGACAGTATGACATAAATTAACTAGACTCATGAAATATTTTTCTAAGAAGAAAATAATGACCAAGCTATGACAGCAGAGGAGTGATGGAAGGTCCTTAATAAAGCACGAAGGAAGGGAAGCGATTGGCAGAGACCTAGCCGGCTCTCGTTTTCTCGCAATATACCCCAGTGTGGTCCACGATGCTCTGCTTGATTGGAAGACTTGGTGAGAACAGGCTTAGAATCACACAAGCTAGGACTACAACACAAATTGCCTGTTTTTCTGCAACAGTACACTGAACGAGTGTGAAGGCTGCCAAGGATTCTAGCCTGTAACCCCTGCTGCTACCCACACCAGGCCTGTGGAAGAAAAAGTGGCAAAGAACTCTGAAAGCTGTGTCACCACACTGAGAGCAATCTCCGTTCCCGTATGTTCATCTGACCCTAACGACATTATTTCTGGTGACTGGCTTATTTAGAACGGTGTGTGAAAGGCAAGACGATCACCCTAAAACTAAAGAAAAGCAAAGTGAAAAACTTAGAAGCTGTTAGGAGAACAATGCTCTCAAGAAGCCGAAGGAGCTATGCTGACCAAGTGGAGCTGTTTTGTTCTAAAGCTTCAAAGAAGCTTTTACTTACAGGTCATATGGAATTTTTCATACTGCTGCTCATGAAGAAAAACACATGTACATATACCAAGTGTGCATGTAACTAAATCCATGAGGATAAATATATAATACATGGCATATATGTGTCAGAAACCCATAGATCCTAGGAAAGACCAGCCCTAGCCTATCCGGAAATTGCCATCTATGCACCCCAGTAAATCTTCCAAAAGAGTAGGGACGCCTTATGAACACAGCAGGTTTAGAAGATGTCAGAATGCACAGGGAGCCTCGAGTCTGTTCTCAGTCGCTTTCTTGGCCTTCTTTGAGCTTTGTGTGCATACTGCAAACAAAAAAAGGCAATTGCTGCCAGTAATTCCAGTTTAGAATATAAAAACAATGCACACTATTTGGATCTAGACTGGTATCACTAGGCAATCGCTAACCTTTGCAAACTGACCCTGGGCAAATTAAGTAGGCTTTCTGTGTCTTGAAAACCACCACACCTTCAACAGGGATGACACGTGCTAGGACTATAAATATTCAATCGTGAGTTCAAAGTCACAGTGCATGGGGACACACGAGACAAGCTAAGCCCACACAAGCAGCATCCCATCTCTCTTACTGATCAGCTCTGCTCGGCTGAGAGATTAGACAATTGTATGAAGTAGTTGTCTGAGGTCCCCTACTTGTCACTCAGGGATGGACAGATGTGCAATGGCCTTTACAGCAGGATATGCATGACACCTAAGCTGGCGCTGGCTCCTGACTCTTCAACAGAGTAGAGAATTTGTTGAGCACTGTGGTGGACTAATAGAAATGCCTGGGCAGTTATTGCAGCAAATACACAGCACCAAGGCAGGATTCCCATCACTGGATCAAACAGAGCACAAGCTAAAGACAGAGCATGTTCTCTTAGAGGAATGCCCCCCAAAAAATTACATTCAAATCAAGGAAAGAAAAAAATAAAAGAGAGAAAGCAAAGAGAAAAATAAAGGAATATAGCTGGCAAATGTCTGAAAACTGTTCAATATTATCAGTAATGAAAAAATATCAATGATGAAAATTACACAACTATTACCTCAAACTAATAAAGTGTATAAATAAAACTAAACATATGAGGCCACTGTCAAGCTCACATGAGGGCTGGTCTTCTCTGTAGTGCAAGTGAAAATTTGAAAAATGCCTATTAATAGCAACAAAGCTGCTATCAGTAGCTGTTTAAACCAACAAATATTACCTCCTGAGAATTTATTCTAATCACTAGAGGCATGAAATAAAAGAACTGTAGGTTAATCCAATAAAGTATTATTGGTAACACTAAAGTAAGAGACAGAACTGCAATGTAAGTTACGAAGGGAGTAAAACATGCAGCAATCCTACCCTGGGGTGATGCCTATGCACCACAATGGTCAGCGTGGCAAGCTATCCCTAAAGGTACAATATCTTTATAACTTGGTGGTAACCAACAGCTACCTAATTGGGCTAAAGTCCTGTTCAACAGGAGGGAAATCATATCTGATACTGTACACCTAGCTAAGAACACATGTCCAGTGAGGCCATAGACTTAGAAGGGGGCCTAACAAAGCCCCTTTGCTAGACCAGTATCATTCCTAACTTCACTCTAAACACGCATCCTCATAGCTACAGGTACGTGCAGCTTTCACATCCTCCCGGCAGATGGAGACCATTAGAGAAGGCCACAACTCGTCTAAACGCAGAGAACAACCTACTACAGGGTGTTCAGCTGCCATTGATACATCTCTCACTCAAGCCCTGCACCCTCAAGGAAGAGGAGATGAAAGACTGCCATAGGCAGAAACAGTGTGTCTTCTAGCTATGGCCGGGGAAGCTACCCTCGTGAAATCAACAACATGGCTGCTTAAACAGACCTGAACTATGACAACACCAGTTGGCATGCCAAGGTGGATGGGGGAAATTTCACAAGGGCACCACCCTAACTGAAGCATTAAAGACTGCTAAGAGAGGGAGAATGAGTCTCTCCCGGGGATGAACCCCCTAAACTGTTACCCAATGACAAGTGCTCAGACCCAAAGAATACCCAGAAAAGCAACAGTGAAGGGAACAGCAGATTGCATTTACTATTTATTTGGATATATATTATATATAATATATATTTAATATATATATTACACAATAATGATTAAAGAATAAGGAGCTATGAATCTGAAAGAGAGGGGTTGAAGGGGGGACAGGGAAGAGAGAAATGATATAATTATCATTTTTTAAAATCACAAAAAAGAAAGATCTAATAATAAAGGACTGGTAAGAATTCATTTTATTTCTTTCTTTGTAAAATGGCATATTTGGGGTGGGAGGAAACCATGACATGAGGCTAAAGGAGATTTCTTACAAAAAAGACTTAAGATATATATATATATATATATATACATANATATACATATATATATACATATATATATATTGGGAAAAGTTATGAAACCGTGTTTATTATATGGTCAACTTGATGGCCAGGAAACCCAGGGCTGTAGGGCATGTGTTCACAGGGATCTATCTGAAAGGTGTTTATCAACTTTCCACTCACGGTAATCTCCGGGTGAGCACATTTACTGCCGAATTCGAATTCTGGGAGATCTCTGAGAATTTTCTTTTTCAGGATAGGAAAAAAAAACAGGAGTTTAGAAATGACTAGGTGCATTCGGACAGAAGCCATGGACAGCAGCTTGGAAAGGTGTGTACTGCTTGGGCTCACTACATTGGTTTTTCTACAGCTTCCCATTTTTTACAGTGCACAGCAATTATAGAACTGCAGGAAAACAATCAACTTTGCAGCTGCTCAAAGGGCAGGCACCTCTCAGACGGAACGGTTCGTGGCCTCTTTGGCCCCCATCTACCTATAGAAGACCCCCATGCATGAAATGCTTGGCTGGTTTACTCACTAGCTTTAGTGCTAGGCTGTAAAATGCCTTCAGGTTGCACTGTTGCCTCTCAAGCACTTATTCACCTGATGGGACACACAAACCCATGTAACGACCACAAAAAATACACAACTTTTCCAAGCTGCTATACATGGATTCTACCCTACCTCACCTAGGCATTTCTCAACTCATTCCAGGGAGGAAAAAAAAATCACACACACACACACAGAAACACATTCCTTGAGAAGATCTCACAGAATACATAGTCAAAACACTTGTCAGTGCATCGTCAAGATGTTGTCTCTTAAGGATATAATATTATGCTAAGGAATCAGCTATGCCAGGAAACACCGAGATAACGACCCCTCTGGCCGCACCATGAAAGAGACTGTGTAAGGCTCCTGGCTTCAGCGGCCTGAGCTCTGCCTACCGTCAGCCTCGCCATTAATTACGACTGCCTTCCAGGCATGGGGTGGACGTGCCACAGACGGAAAGCTGAAGGTTCCCAATGACACCCACCAATGAGCAGAGTTAATTTTACATGCAGCGCTCAGCAAGGCTGAGGAGTCCCTTGAGGCACAATCATCAATGAGAAAGTGACAGCCTCCCATCACTAAAGTCTCGAGTGGAAAACAAGCTTTCACCTTTCAAAAAAAGGGGGGGGGCATAAATAAGCGATCTGGGAGTCAGGATTTCAGAATCTCAACTGGAGGCTGGAAGGAGGCCAGGACGGAAGAGCAGAAAAGATGAGCAGGAAAAGGAAGGGAAAAGGAGAAATAGAGTCTCAACTACAAGGCACCTCAGCAGGTTACAGCAGGCACAGAAGGGATGCAGAGAGCGACTCCTCTGCAAGATACATCATCTCAGAATTGATATGGGCCAAACTTCTGCACCGTAATTTTCTCAAGAAAGTAACTTCTAAATGATGACATAATAATCTTCCAAAGAAATAGATCTCAAACATTATACCACAGTTCACCTTGATTCGCCACCCCCCCCCCCCACCGCACACACAAGGACCCGAAGGAAGATAAAATTCTGCCTAGAGGGGAGTGGTTTCTTTCAGTTGAGTGAGAAAGACACAAGGTGTTGTACTGCACTGATGCTGCCGCCTGACCAAACATTTAACTAAAGGCTTGTGAAGCTGTGTCTTCCCAAACACATTAGAGTTCGTGATTTCTACCTTTGTCCTCTCTGCTGTGTCCCTAAACTGCTGCGTTATGCACACACTAGGGACCTAGTACATGTTTGAGTAGATGAGTGCACAGTTGAGCAGACTGGCAGCTTGTAAGCCAGCCCTGAGACCCTGCAGTGCACACCTGAAAGCCCTGCAGATGTGCAGAGCATCTCACTCGGCCAAGGTGTGCCTTGCTTTGTACGGCAGTGACAAGTTTACTAACTAGGCTTCGGGTCCTGAGACTCCCACATCTCACATGACCAGACAACAGCTATTACGTCATTCATCCTGATTAGGAATGTCACATGTTCGCTTCTGAAACACGTTCTCCTACGAGGCTAAAGCTGAAAGCGCTGCTTTAGCACCAGTGAGTGAGGGACTGAGTGTGTGAGTACATTCGTGCTCAGGAAGAGAGGGGAACAACACTCGTGGGGTATGGATTATACCAGAAGGAAAAGGGAGGGAAAAAAACGTAAGTTGAGACCTGGAATCTGAAGGAGGTCTATTCAGGTTGGCTGCATTCAGTGCCCTCGGTAAGCTAGGACTGATCTGCTTGCATGCTGTGGAGACCTGGCTTGCTGGAGGTGAAATGGGTCCCAGTCGCTGAACCATCATGGGACTGCTGGTGACCACTAGATTGTTGCAGCTGCCTTTTCCAATGGACTTGCACTGAGGCCCAAAGCCAAGAGCCCCTAAAAACAAATGAATCAGGTTAGCTTTCATGTCCCTTACATCAGAAATCAGTACATACACATGTGCACATTTATAGCGGGGCTCATCTTTAGAGACAGTCCTTCTGAAGTGTAGTTTTTTTGACATAGGGTCTCATGTAGTCTAGGCTGCCCTCCAACTTACTGTAGCCCCTGTTCTCCCTGCCTCCACCTCCCAAGTGCTGGTGTTACAAGAGTATCTCTTTTAATACTCATTAGACCAAAAAGCATGTGATTCCAATGCAAAACCTGTAATGTTATAGCAAAAAGCTTTTCATAATCACCACTCAAACCATTAAATATGGCTAAATTTCACTGTGCAGAAGTGAGAATCAGCTGTTGAAAATTAAGCTGAAAGTCATAATTTGTAATATCCTTAACTGAAGGGTGACGGTGATCAGTAGACAGAATTATCTTGATCAAATCAACTCCTTCCTAGAGTAGCTAATATTTTGAATCACAGAGTAAATAAAGCCAATACTGCTGGCGGGGGGGGGGGGGGGACCAAAAACATTGAACTGATTTGATTGTGAATCTGTATTTCCTGATAGCCTCTTTAAGAGAATTATAGTCAAACTATATCCCTTTAACCTTGAGTTTCCCCTCTTCATCCCCAGTACACTGCCATTGGACAGAAAACTTTTTTTTTAATAATTCAAGATGGGAAATCCATAAAACACTCACTTGGAAAGGTAACTGAATTTAACAACATTTTTTGTTTTCATTACTTATCATATTCCAATTTTTCTTTTAAAAAAAACTGTGGTACACACCCAAAGAGAAAGAAAAAGAGGCAAATAAACCCACAAGAATCTATGTCGTTAAAGAGAAGTGAAAGTGGAGAGGGAACGGCTAACATTGCCATGACTCATCTGTTTCAAGCAACAGTAAAAGCTTAGTCATTCTAGATGTTCCCTTCAGGGGATGCACTTTTTCAGAACCCGCCGACCACCTGGGTCTCAGTGGCTGATCCTCTACTCCCAACTCTAACAAATGAGGATACAGTTCTCGCGAGATTCTCTGGCTTTGCCGTCACTCTACCCGGGATCAAAGTATGTAGAATTTACCACTGTCATTTTCTTTAGCTCTAGAAAGCAAAATTTCATACTTTGTTTTCCTCCCAAAATAAACCAAACTGCCAAGAGTTCTTTTACTTGGCATGGACTTCGGTTCCATTTTCTTCTAAGAGCCCCTTGAGACAAAACAGCCCTGAAAGTTGTTGCCATGTCCCCATAAATGAAGCTACAACTCAACTCTCCTGCTGGAGCCCCAGCTACGTTAGGTGGCAGCAGCCCCTCTCCATGTCAGAGCTAAAACCCATGTGCTCACGGCCTGCCTACAGCCACACAGGGAATTAATAAGTATGAAGCTCAACTCCTCTGTGTGTTTCCATGGCACCCACAGGCTTCAGTTTGGGCTCTGGGCACGCTCTTGAACATCTTCCAAGATCACTGGCTCCTAAAGAAGATCTCAGATCTTTGTTCAGATGTCCAAATTCACCTCCCTCTTGCGCCTGAGCAGGTTTCCGATCTTATGTCTTCCGAGACCAGTTGGCGGTATTCCATTTTTATGACTCACGGCTTTGGACCATCAGGGTTTTCCGCCTTAACATCAAGAGTGGCGGGTGTATTTTTAATATCATGCTCATAAACTGAGTTTCTCTGAAAATTCTTAATTGTGTGTGTTTGCATGGGCTCTCTTTGAACCGTGGGAAAGAGGATGCAACGGTGCGGAGCCTAACCCAGCCTAATAACCTGCGTTACTGCCTCAGCTGCCACAGCTACTAGATGTTTCTATTAAAAGCGACATCAGATATCAAGCACTCAGTCAACCAGGATACCATGCACACTCATATAATGAATTGTCACTCTGTATCGGATTCATCCTTAATGAAACCATTCACATCTATCTACCTCTAAAACAAATGCATGAGTCCCTCTATCAGCCCACACAAGAAAGAAAGCTTGGTAACAAAGCGTATAAATACCTACTTGTCAAATCTAAAATGCTGCGTGCATATACATCTATATATGTAGTAAAATCACTAAGAACCAATTGAATCCATGCGTGGCATCACTACTTCAGAGATGGGATGAAGACATGTATACCTTAGAATTCTCAACTGCCAAATATGAGGACAGCATCTTTTACTCTAACCCTCGCTCGCAACGGTCTGTTAACTTTGCGCCTAGTGAGCCCCTGTGCATCTTCAAGGTTTCAACCCAAAGCTCCTTGGGTTCACCTGCCACCCGCAGTGTCCTCTGGACAGATCTGAGTGCTCTATCCTTTCATCTTCAGGAAGTGAGCCTATGACCTTCCCCCCAATCTCTCATGTCTGCTCTTCAATTCTTTTTGAAAAAAAAAATGAAGTCCTTGTTTAATGTGCATTTTCTTCCCTAGAACCCAGTCTAATAGAAAGCCTTCTTCATTTAAGGCATAAAAATTAAGAATGACTGCAATGAATATTAAATATTATCCAGCTTTTTCCATGGAAGCCCTCCTGACTTTTTTTTTAAATGAAACATGAGACCATTTTAAGAAACCCAAACTAAGTTGATCCTCTGATGTGTAGCTGACCAAGCTGAATGGAAGAGGAGGCTGGTGAGCGTAGAACTGTACATCTGTTCTCCTGGTCCAGACACTGACCCCTGCAGCCCAGACTCACATCATGAGATACCTCAGTCCTTCTCTGCTCAGTATCCCACTATCCTGCCCCCTACTCCAAACACACGGATCAACTTCAGCATCCTCTAACCACAGAGAAGTGACAGCTTGTGTCAACAGTGACTTTCTCAGAAACATGCAGCATTTTATGCAGTAATGAGAATGTTCTAGAAAATGGCACCATCAAGCTCACAATGGAAAATAAACAAGAGTTGTACCAAAAGACACTATTAACAAAGCATTAAAAGTCTAATTCTTTTTTAGAATCCCAGACAGAAGCATGAGCTCCGAACTACTGGGAGTCGGAGTGTGGGCTCTGTGGGCAGCCTGACTGTCTGGGATCAAGCTCTTTGCATGACAGGGGCAAATTTCTGAAAACTGGCCGTCCGTGTTTGTATCTCACCATCTACCAAAGAGGAAAAGAAACTGATGCTGCCCCCTAAGGGGCTTTGCATCCAGTGTTAGCAGCACACACAAAGCCTCGGCACCATAGTAGATACTATAGATGTCGGCAGCTCTCGTCACTGATGGCTGTTCCATGTCTGCCCTTGCTTTTCTGTTCCACTCTGTTAAAGAAGAAAAGTTCTTCATATTTCCTTGCACAACACAAGAGAGTAAACGATGCTGTTTAATTCTCTGCCCATTTCCAATGTTCTTTCTGTTTTGAGCCCAGAGCCAATTTTTTTTCAACCAGGTGTCATCACAGATAGAAATTTGCAACTGGCCAAGTTTGAATGTTCCCTGGCTTGTTGTTCCATAAAAACAAACCATACAGCTTTTCTGACTACCAGATGTGCCAACTACTTGGGCACTAGTTTTTCTTTTCGAAATACCGCTTATTTTTAGAGACGGCATGGTGTGCGTTTTAAAAATGTGTTTACTGCTCAAATAAAGATCGGAGAGGACGGCGTTCTGAGCTCCGCACAGGTTCTCGCCGAGATCACACTGTGCTGCTGGGAAGCCCCTCACACTTCGCATCTCTAAGGTTCTAAACTGAGCGGTCATTTTAGAAGGGCCGTGATTTTCATGACTATCTTCATTAGCAGAAAGGGTCTTCCTCCAGGAGCAAGGTTGATTGGCTTGTACCTATCATAAATAGGTTGATTCTTTCCTAACTGCGAATGTCTTCTCTCTGGTCCTCTGAAAATTCACACTGACACAGAGGGTAACAAAAGTGTAACGCAGACGAGAGAGCAGCGCAGAAATAATCAAAGCTTTGCTAATCACTAATCAACCGGCACTTACAGAATGCTAACCCTGGGCCAGGCAGCGCATGGAGACAGTGGTACAAGGAAGGATCAAGCCCCCAGTGATGGGAAATTCCTGCCTCTCAGTGGATCATGTGAAATAGGCTTTTATCAGGTTACAGATGATCAGCTTCTAAACAGTACAATGCAACTCACACACTGGACATTTTCTAGGCAAAAGTATTACTATCAGATAGAGTCAAGTCCTGCCCCTGTCCTCACTAGCTATGTGGCAATGGGCAGAGTCCTTGAGATCTCTCTGCCCTAGTATCCTCTTCTAACACTAGGAACGGTCAGATCACTTAACACATGGGATGGCTTTAATGACAATTGGTTAATATTAATATACATACCACCACGTTTAAAAATCTGGGTTCTCTATGAAATATTTTCAGACCTAAAAAAGATTGCAGAAATAGGAAAATAATCTCCAACTTCACCTAAGGCCATTTCTTCATCCAGCATATGATCTCAGGAATTTGCTCCTTTCAACTCTGGGGCCATTAAGAATGAACCATAGATTTCATATTTTAATTCCTAAATGTATAAGGACAATATAATTATAAAATCCAAAGCATTCAGCAAGGCTATAATATTAGTAAAGAAAACACTATGCTCACATTATTTCCAATAATATATGTAATGATACATGTAGATCAATTCCTTTTTAATCCAAAATCATACAGTATAAAGAAGTTTTAATCCACACTCCAGTGATCTCCAAGAATGGAATAGCAAATCATTGGAGACAGAGCACTGAAGGTTGATAGAAAAGATGAAAGGTTCAAGAAAGAAGAGGGGAGGCTAATATCACAAGAGTCAAGAGCATACTTCTGTATCATAGCCCCACCACCCCTAGCTTTATAATCTTCCCGCACTGCTCAAGCTCCGTGTCTCAGTTCCCTGATTCTAAAATGATTTTGATGCTTCCAGAACTGTACAGCTGTTAAGAGGGCTGAAAGAGCTGGTATGTGTGACACATTTAGTACGTGGTGCTTACTAAATACTTGAAAAGGTTAGCTGAATTTGGAGCTGGAAGACAGCTCAGTGGGTAAAGTGCTTGCCTTGCAA